TGCAAGACCCTGGTCTCGGCGGGAGGAGACCCCTTCGCAGCCGTGAGGTGAGGAACCGAGCCCCGGGAACCGTTGCTGAGTGGCACCTCCGGCTGGGTTACAGGGAGGGTGCAGGTCGTCCACGGGGACCGGGGCGCCCTGGAGTGTGCAGGGAGGGACTGGTTACCTCAGAGCAGGGATCCTCCATGCCTAGGCCACGCAGAAGGTCTGGGCCCCTGTGGTGTACCCCTGAGACACCATCCCCCCCTTGCTGGGGCTCCAAGGAGGGCTCTCCAGGGTCTGTGTGGAGGGGGGGGCTGGGATGTGCCTCCTCCCCCTGCCCCATGGCACAGGGACCCGGTTCCAATAGGAATACAGCCCCCAGCCATGCCACCATCTGGACTGAGCCTCTCTGAGCCGGGCCTAGCCTGCTGGGGCTGTGGAGAGGGGCTGGGAGGAGGGTCAGGCCTAGCAGACCTTAAGCCAGGGACCTGCCCTGCTTCGCTCGCTAGGGAGGAAACGCCTCGTGCCCCTAAAGGAAGGCTTTGCAGGACCTTCCTGGACAACCTCCTCTCCCCTGCCCTGTCAGGAGACTCGCCCGCAGCAGGGAGGTGATCTGGGCCACTGGGCTCGTCTGGCCGGGCTAAGGAACCCACCTTAGCCCGGGCAACAGGCTGTTTCCGTAACAGACAACACGGGGCTGCCTGCTGGGCCGGCGGTAGCCTGACAAGATGGCGTGCCTCCCTCATCGGGGGAGCGTGCAGCAGGGTGTTTGCTGGGCGTCAGAGCCTGGTGCCGCTCTGCCAGCCTGCCCGTGCAGACTTGCGAGGGACCCGGCAAGCTGGAAACTCAGTCCCTGTGGCTCTCGAGGAGAGCTGGGGGCAGCATTTTGGCCGGCCATTGGCAGCCTATTCCCTGTGTGACAGAACAGGGGTGAGACAGCAGGTGAAAGAGTTTGATGGAAGGGGAAAGAGGCAGAGAGAATTGAGGAGTTTGGAGAGAGAAAGACATCGGAGGAGCCAAGAGAACAGCATCAACCTTGTTAAAGTCTACAGGGAGACAACAAATCTCAAACCAAGGCGAGTGAGCCATATACTGTGACTAGGGGACAGTGGGCTGAACAGGGGTCAGGGGCCCAGGAGTGGGACTGACCCTGCCACACCTGAAATAGGAAAACCGTTTCCCTGGAAACTGGGATAGTACCTTTTACGCCCATCCGATTGTTGCCTTTGAATGCGTGCGCCTGAGTCACCCCTGGGATGGTCAGAGTATGTCGCGCCATCGAGGGTTCCAACTGCCGTCCGGTGTCCCCTTCAGCAATTTCAACAATCTAACGAACTGCCTTGGTTCGGGCTTTTTTTTGGTGTTGAAGTGGGTTGTTTCTGTTTCAGGAGGGACCCGCTTTCCAGCTCCTACGCACGCCCCCCCTCCCCCTCCCCGCTCCCAACTTCTGATGAAAGGAGTTCCACGTGGCTGCTGGCTGCTGCTCTGTCAGTCGGTAATTCTGCAGGGCTCCCAAAAGACAGTGACATCCCCGGGCATTTCCCTTTGTTTGGGGTGACGCGCCACATTTCCCAGGGGCATTTGCAAATCTCGCAGGCACCACTGTAACTGGTCAATCGAGAGAGACAGTCACTCAACCGTCTGGCGGCCCGGTGGTAACCGGAAAGCCCTTTGGGGCTGGAAAATTGCCAGATGGTGGCTTTGTCACAGCTACAAGAGGGGACGGTTCCCATGGGTGCTGCAGCCTGAGCTGTATTTGCCTTCCACGTATGCTGGGTGCGCTAGGGAAAGATGGTCCTGTTTGCACATGCAGTCAGAGGCCCTGGGAAGTAGCCGTATGTTTCACAGTGCGTACTGACAGAGGCAGAACGGTGGTTGCTGGGGATTAGACACTCTCTGGGCAGCTACTCATCATCACAACAATGTGATTTCTACACTAAAATGGGGGAGAGGCATAAAGTCTGTGTGGGAATAGAAAACCAGTCATATTCCTCAGGCCTAATCAGGCCGAGGGGTTCACCACGTGCGTCTGGCTGAGACCCAGCTGGATGGACTCCGTCTGCTGTGTTGCGAGAGCACAGAGAGCAAGCAGGCAGCCGTCCTAGGAGCTGCCTCTCCATCTCCCAGTCTCCCTGGATTTCTCTCCAGTCTGATGGGCTGTCAGGGCTTTGGGATCCGACCCTGACAACCCATTTGCTGCTAGGCGCTCTGTTATTTGGGGAGGGAGAATCGGTTTAATGCACATTTTACTTTCCCGACCACGAAAGTGAAGCAGGAGAAATCTTTTGACACATTGAAAGTGTCTCCAGGGCCCGGGAATGCCCCTCTCGTCAGCGTAGTGTTGAGACTCCGCGTTGTAAGGGCAGAGTTGTACGCTGTGACAGTTGTGGTACCCCCCCGGCATTCAGTCACAGAGAAATCATTCTTTATTCAGCGCATGTTATGGGATGCGCCTGGCGCACAGCTCGTCTGCCTGCGTTGGAGTGTGGCTCCGTTACCCAATGCACAGGGCGCAGAGTGAACTTACCATCCCAAAAACACTAGGCAGGGGAGCACAACTTTGTTCCCTCCCTCTGCCCCACTCTCTTCCTTTCCTTAAAGCTCAAAGAAGCTGTTGGGTTCATTGTTCTCTTCAGATCTCATCGATGCAGCTAGCTGCCTGTCCAGAGGAGCGACAGGGCAAGTCTTGCGTTATTGTTCCCCGGAGCTTTCTGGAAAGCAGAAGTAGACTGAAAGACTGCGGAGGGGAAGGCACGCACATGGGCGGCCTGCAAAGGGAGAAGAAAAGGTGAGATGGTGCGGTTGGTACACAAATAAGGCCTGATTTTATTTTTTTTTAAGTTGAAGGGGAAGTGATTCTACTTTTGTACATTGCTGCTGGTCTCTGCCAATTCGCTCAACACCCTCGGTGCATTGCATCCGGCTCCATGGTCTTCCACACGTCCAGCTTCTCTGTATAGCCCGTCTCCTGTTCTTTCACCACTGAGGGCTGCCCAGCATGGCAGGCTGGGCCGCTGCTCTCGTCTGTGAAGACAGAGGCCAAAAAAAGCATGGAGTTCTTTAGCTTTTTCCACCTCATCTGTCCATTTGGGAAGGGTCCCCCGCTTTCCCGGACCTTATCGCTAACCTACCTGTAGCAACCCTTTTCTCTAGAGCAGCCCGGACACCAATGTCCATTGCACTGCGTGTTCCGCCACCGTACGGCACAGAGACACTTTTGCTAAAGACCTTACAGTGGAAACAGGCAAACGGAGCGGGGTGGTTTGCTCCAGGTCACCAGTAAAATCCAGTTGCCCCCAGTCTCAGGCCAGTTCCTCACCCATCAGGCCAATGAAACAGTCAAGATGTGGGTGGGTCTCTGGCTTGTGTTTGTAGGGCCGCGCCCCTCAAGGTCCTCCCAAATCAGCTCTCGCTGATTAGGGTGCATTAGGAGGAGCATTGCCAGCAGATCCAGAGAAGTGATTATTCCCCTTTATTTGGCTTTGGTGAGGCTACATCTGGAGTATTGTGTCCAGTTCTGGACCCCCCACTATAGAAAGGATGTGGACGCATTGGAGAGGGTCCAGCGGAGGGCAACAAAATGATGAGGGGGCTGGAGCACATGACCTATGAGGAGAGACTGAGGGATTTGGGTTTGTTTAGTCTGCAGAAGAGAAGAGCGAGGGGGGATTTGATAGCAGCCTTCTACTTCCTGAAGGGGGTTCCAAAGAGGCTGGAGAGAGGCTGTTCTCAGTGGGGGCAGATGGCAGAACGAGGAGCAATGGTCTCAAGTTGCAGTTGGGGAGGTCTAGGTTGGATATTAGGAAAAGCTGTTTCCCTAGGTGAGTGGGGAAGCGCTGGGCTGGGTTCCCTAGGGAGGGGGTGGAATCTCCATCCCTAGAGGTGTTTAAGTCTCTTGACAAAGGCCTGGCTGGGATGATTGAGTTGGGCTGGTCCTGCTTTGGGCAGGGGACTGGACTGGATGACTCCTGAGGTCTCTGCCCGCCCTAGGATTCTAGGATTCTATGGTTCTATGGCTTTCATCTGGGAGGGCCTGACCCTGCGAGCACCTCCTTAAAGTTGCCATGTGCCTCTAGCTCCCACTCACTTCACAGAGTTGTGGGTGGCCCCTCGGTTGCAGGAAACACTCCTTAGCTCAGGGGCCATGTAAGCATATCAAGTTGCAGCTGCAGTGTCCCCAGTGGTCCAGCGCTAGCGGGGTGGGAGCGCTAATGCCGGGGGGAGGGTAGCAGCTGTTGGTGTTGGTCACCACATCACATAACTGGGTTGGAGCAGACTCCTGGGCATGCTTCAGAACCGACTTTCCCAGAGATGTCCCTTCCAACTTGTACACTCGCTACTTCGGCTTTCCATCAAAAGCATTCGCCGTGTGACCAAGAAGAGCTGTGGCCTCCAGCAAGAGAGAAACGTCTGTCTCCCGCCGATTTCAAGAGGCTAAAAGTGGCATGCTCTGTTGCCAGGCGTTTGCCGTCCACTCTGGGTCTTGGAAATTCTCAGGATGTTGATGAGTCATTTTAAGCGTGTAGCTATGGGTATGTCTACACTACCCTCCTAGTTCGAACTAGGAGGGTAATGTATGCATACCGCACTTGCTAATGAAGCCCGGGATTTGAATTTCCCGGGCTTCATTAGCATAAGCG